ATAATTTAGCACCGAGTAGATTAGTTTAACGAAAGGCAAAAAAGAACCACTGACCGGAATTTCTCCAATGGTCGTTGGATTATTTGCTATCACAGTTCGTTGCTGAATTTCAACGCATTTTTCACCTTCTCTAGTATAACTTTCATTTTCGCACTGACATCTTAGCCAACAAATTTTATCATTTGAGCTAAAACGTTCCGATGAGTTACTTGGCTGAATTTCTCTGAATATCATATGAATACCACACTTTCGTCCTTGCATCATCAAACATACGGATTTATAGTAGGAACTGGCACCATTACTTGCAAAATTCACATTATTGCTTGCCGAATTGATATTATGGCTCGAAATAGTTGTCTAAATTTGAATGCCGAGGATGGACGATTCTAATAAATATTTAAAAAAGAATTGCTATAACTGCATGAAATGAAATTTCATCGTATTTCCTCTTAAATTTCTTTATGACTTGTTGCCTTTTAAAAATAAATAAATATAATATTATATTACAAATAAATATTGAGCTACTTGGCCAAATTTCTTAGAATATTGTTCGCAATTGTTTTGGCATCGATATGCATTGCTTCAAATCTGAATCCTGAATTCTATGCAGACTGATGATTTTTTCCACATATATGTTGAATAAATCATAATTTCCCTGATTTTGCTTGTATTCTAACCCGAGAATCATAGAAATGATACCTTTTCGACACACTGCCCGTTCCTTTCAATATATTTTTCATCGATGCACGAGCAGATTTGAAAGCATCGGTAAGAATAAGCTGAGGAGTCGAGAAAGATTGTTTTCGAAATAGTTTTGTAAATCATATTAGTTCCACATTTTTTAGAAGTTTTTTCACAACCATAATCGACAATTTTCTCGTGAATTTTGAAGTTTCTTTCGTCGCTTGTATTTTGAGAATTAACCTTTAAATTAAATTCGTTGATTAAAAATTAAAATATAAAAAAAATATAAAAAAAAAACTGAAATGAAATCCTTCCGCTTTCAACATTTCCAACAATTAAAATATTAACTGTGAGGTTTTCTTATACAATCAATTTCTTGTTGGTTGAAACTAACTTTGAAAAAAAAACTTAATTTATTCCCATTTATTTAATTGTTTTAAATCGATTTGCGAAAATTCGCAAATTAATTTGTAAAGTTATATACAAATTGTACATACCTTAGCTGTATTTTGGTATTTAGGAAACTCTTTTTTGATGCATTTCCCGTTGCTTACAGCAAAATATTTTTTAGCACAAATACATCGTTGCCAGCATTGATATATTGGAAATGAGTTCTGAAGACGAACAGCTTTGGAAATTAGTCTAAATACCATATTTTCGCCACATTTTTGATTAGTTCTGCGGCAACCAAAATCAGCAATCTCCTCGCCATATGCACATTCTCCATGCTTACATTCACTCGCGGCACTAACATATTGAAGAAAAACCTTTAATAAGGAGAATTTTTTAGGTAGCTTATAAAATTAAAAGATTAATAAGCTGTCGGCCGAAGCATGAGAAAACTTTCGGACGTCCTAATAAATAGTTATAGAAAAAAAGAATTATCTAATAAAAATTTTTTATTAGGATTAAAAAAATTCACTAA